CCCCGTTTCCCACAGCGTGTCCCCGATAATCCCGTGGGGCTGGGACGCTGCGGGTGCTGGGGGCAGCGCAGGGCTCCGTGCCCCAAGGACAGCCGCAGGGTCCGGCCCGGAGCCCTGTGCCAGCCCAGCTGCCCCGGCACCGGCACCTCGGGGCATCTGCCAGCGCTCCAAGGTTTGTTTCCAGCCCTTGAATCGCTGCTGGGAGAAAAGCTCTTGCATTTCACGTGACAGATGCTGCTCTCTGAATCCTTGTCCTGCGGGTCCTCCGAAGGATTTTCCATGACCTCTTAACCCTTTCATCTCGTGGGGGGTTCCAGCACTGGCATCTGAGCACAGTGGGCTGTCTCTGCCCATATTCCTGCTGTGGCTCAGCTTCCTGCCCACCCTGCTGTACCTGGGACCTTCCCTCCCTCTCACTTCCCAGGGACCGAGTTTTCCCTCTGCTCCAAGAGCCCGGTGCAGTCAGGCTCTTAAAGGATTGCAAACACCCCTCTGCAAGCAAAGGCATGGAACCCTCAGGTACTGGCCATCAAAACACATTTGTGGGCATCACAAAGTGTCCCCCGTGGCTCCTGATTCTCTCTGCTTCCCTCTCTAATCGGTTCTGTGGCTCTCCCTAGACCGAACACCCAGCTCCGGCTGTGATGGGTGGGAGCGGAGCCCAGTCCCCTGTGGGGCACACCGGGACACTCACAGCCTTCCTGCTTCTGCCCCAGCTCCTCTGTGTCGCAGTTTTGGGGGCTGTGATCACCTACCAGACCCTCAACCTGCCTCCTGACGTGGAGGTCCAGCCTGGAAAGGGGAATCTTGACCCTCAGTCTCCAAATATCGAGCCAGGGCCCCTGCTCCTGCCAAAGTGGCTTCACAAGTGGCTAGAAAAATGCTGCTGCTCCCAGGGCACAGTGGGTGCTGTCTCCCATTGCAGCCTGTGCCATCTGCAGCCAAAATTAATCGTGTTTTTCAGCCATTAATCATTTCTAACATTAATCATGTTGTCTTCATGCTGAACAGCAGAGGACCGGAACTGCGGGAACTCTCTCGCAAGCGATGGGCCTGAGCTCAGCTGCTTCTGAGAGCTGTCAGCCGGCCAGAGCTCCGTTCCTCTCCACATGGGCCATGTGGCTTTTGGGTTGTTTAGTCTCTGATCAAAATCTGGGCCCGGCCTGAATTACCTGTCCCACAAGAGCCCAGTGCATTGACACAAGCACGGCCTCTCCTCGACATCGCAGAGCCCTCGCGCTCGCCCGAGAACGTCCCGTGCTGTCACCGTGCTGGGCTCTCACACATCCAGCCCTGTCCCACGGGACACCGGGCTTCTGGAACACGGGAACACGGGAACACAGGAGCACAGGAACACAGGAACACATCCAGCCTTGTCCCACGGGACACCCGGCTTCTGGAACACGGGAACACGGGAACACGGGAACACAGGAACAGAGGAACACAGGAACACAGGAACACAGGAACAGAGGAACACAGGAACACAGGAGCACAGGAGCACAGGAACAGAGGAACACAGGAGCACAGGAACACAGGAACACAGGAACAGAGGAACACAGGAACACAGGAACACAGGAATACAGGAGCACAGGAACACAGGAACACAGGAACACAGGAACACAGGAACAGAGGAACACAGGAACACAGGAACACAGGAGCACAGGATCACAGGAGCACAGGAACACAGGAGCACAGGAACAGAGGAACACAGGAACACCAGCCACCCCTGTCCCATGGAGCACCAGCCCTCTGGAAGGGAACAGCGGCCCTTTGCCTGGTGTGGGGCTGCCCATGACCCAAGTCAAGCTGGCAGGACTGTGTCTGTGGAGAAACAGATGCCTGAGGCATGATCCTCATCCTGTGTGCAGAGCACCTGCATCTTCTGGCAGGAAAGGTCCAGCTTTGAAGGCATCCCTTGGGGTACTTCTCAAGAACCCCCCAAGATTTGGTGGGAAGGGGCCCCTGGAGGCTCCAGACCGGTCTGATTCACAGCAGGGCTGTTTCCAGCACTCAGCTGTGGCTTTGTCTACCTGAGGTTTGAAAGCCTCCAGAACCAGAGCTCCCCCACCTCCTGTGCTTGTCCCCACACTGGGACCCTTCCAGAGTCAACACTTCATCTTGGAACAAACAGCCCAATCTTGGCCTGCAGTCTCTGCTTTCCTACCAAGGGCAGGGAAAGCTGTCTCCAGTGCTGAGAAGCACTTTCAAAGGGGGTTCCAGTCCCAGTTTCACTGCCACAGCCACATATGGACCTCTCCTTTCGTGTCAGAAAGGGTTTCCACACACAGCTTAGCACAGCTTTTCCACACCTCTTACCCAAAGCTTGTCTGGGGAAGACTGTCATTCCTTTGGCAGAGGGACAGGGGCAAAACTTTCTCCTGTCTGGTCCCTGCAGTTTTCCCTGGAGGTGGAAAACTGGAGTTGCTGATACCAACAGAGCAGCTGGGTCAAGGGAGACCCTCTCAGGGTGTGATGCACAAACCAAGTCTCTTTTCCCCCAGAAATCTGGCATTTAGAGCCTTGGTTTTGTTGGGACAAAGAATGAACCCAACACACAGTTTGTCATGTCCACGGGTTTTTTGGGAGGGTGGGGGTGCCTGGATCTGAAGGCGGCTGCCCTGACGCCCAGGTCCAGGGAATTCCTGGGAACGCTGACTTCATGCTACTCCTCTTGCTGCTCTGTCCCCCGGCCAAAACCTGGGCCAGCCATGTGAGCTGAGCTCCTCCTGGAGCGGTGAGTGGAGACCTGGGGCTCGCAGACTCCGCAGGCTCTTGGGCGGCTGCCCGTGCCCCAGGCAGCTGCTCCGGAGGCAGAGCATTGCCAGGCAGCAGGTCTGGCAGTTCCTTGGCAGTGTTCAACTGCAATCAAACCGTCTCCACAAAACATCTCCATGAGCCAGCACATTCCAATGGAGAAATGTCTTGTCTAAATGTTTCTGACCAACTCTCGTGCGGCAGCTTTCTCGCTTTTCCTCCTGGCTGTGTTTCTGAAGGAAAAAACACTTCAAAGGCATGGCCCTGGCTTGGGATGCTGTAGGTGTGACTGTGCTGTCTCAGCCCAGGTCCAGACTCTTCCCCTGGGGTCTGATGGGACAGAAGAACTCCCAGCAGCACTGAGAGCCCTAACTGGACATGAGAGGAGCATGGGGTGGGGGTCTCAGGGATCAAACAGCCCCACCAGCCCTTCCTGCAGTGGGGTGCCCTAAGGTTGGTGTCAGTGTGTGCACATGGCCCAGGAGCTGAGGTAATGCTCGCTGCAGGTGACAGCCAGCCTCGAGGTACGCTGGACGTGTGGAGGGCAAGGCCACAGCAAGACAAGTCCCAGCTCTTGGTGCCAGGGTCTTCTCTGGTGAGGGGTGTCTGTTCCCAGCCTCCCACCATCCACCTCAGAGGGATTTGGGGTTTCTTTCTCTGCTCTAATGGTCTTCAAACTCCTGCTGCTTCTTCAGAGATGTGCCTCTGCCCTGTTGTCACTCCTGGCATGGGCAGCAGAGCAGGACAGGGTGTCTGAGTGCCCGGAGGTGCTGGAACAGGTGTCCCTCACCTCGGGGAGGGGTGATCCTGCCCACACCAACCACACCAGAGAGCAGGAGACAGCCAGGACCCTCCAAGGGCATGTCCCAGCCCTTTGGCATTGCCAGTGTGGGCTACCTAGACAGGAGGGGAGATGTCCCCACGTGGAGGGCAGTTCCACCATCATCATGGCACTGAGCAGCAAGGCACATGGCCCTGTGGGATGGCTTGGCTCACCGGGAACACGAGGCTCATTGGGAACATGAGGCCCATCAGGATCAGGGTGAGGCTCCCCAGGATCAGGGTGAGGCTCCCCAGGATCAGGATGAGGCTCCCCAGGATCAGGATGAGGCTCCCCAGGATCAGGGTGAGGCTCCCCAGGATGAGGATGAGGCTCCCCAGGATCAAGGTGAGGCTCCCCAGGATCAGGGTGAGGCTCCCCAGGATGAGGATGAGGCTCCCCAGGATGAGGGTGAGGCTCCCCAGGATCAGGGTGAGGCTCCCCAGGATCAGGGTGAGGCTCCCCAGGATCACAAGGCTCCCCAGGATCAGGGTGAGGCTCCCCAGGATCAGGATGAGGCTCCCCAGGATCAAGGTGAGGCTCCCCAGGATCAAGGTGAGGCTCCCCAGGATCAGGGTGTGTGCTCTCTCCCGGTGTGGGGGGCAGCACGGGGGGCTCAGGGCTCGGCCTATGCAGGGTGGGTGTGCAGTGGCCCACATGTGGTTTGTGTTTAGAGCTGTGGCTGCCGGTGCTCTGGAAATGAGGTGCACTCGGCGCTGTGTGTGTTCACTGTGGCTCGCCAGGGCCGGTGCTCCTTGGCCAGCTGTGATTCCGTGATCTGTGTCCAGCGCCACGGGAGACTCGTGCTCGTGTGCCCTCCGTCACACAGCCAGCCTGGGGCCCTGCTCCTTCTGGAGACTCACTTGAGGCTGAGAACCACCTTCCCCCGGTGCCTGCCGCTCCTGGGACAGCTCCCCTGATCCCGGGGGGGTTTGTGAGGGGCAGGCACTCCCCGGGTGCTCCCCACCGTGCCACAGTCCCCGGGGAGCTGATGAAGTGTGAGGGTTTGGGTGCCGGTGAGCAGCTGAGCCCGGCACAGTCCAGCCCTCCCCAGCACCCCTCCTGCATGTGAGACCTGAGCAAAAACATCTGGAGCCAATTCCCAGCCCTGCAGAGCCACAGAAGGACGAGGCACCCATCCGTGGTGGCCGAGGTGTCACTTTCCCCAGGAGGAAGGGTGGTCCCGTGGGAGGGTGGGCTCCAGGGAAGCTTGGAGATGAATGAAGTGCAGGGAGGCTGCACTGGGGCATCTCAGCACCACCCTTGGGTGTTGGACAGAAAGGGCCAGGCTGGGAGCAGAGCACCGTGCCTTTCCAGCGCTCTGGGAAGGAGGAAGCGCTGTCTCCGTGGTGGTGAAGCCGCTTTCCAGCACTGGCGAAGGTTCAGCCACCCGAGCCCAGGCTGAGGGAAGGCAGAGGAGGCGGAGATGCACCGGAGTAACCCTGGAAAAAAGCCCCCAGCTCTCCTGCAGCTGCAGAGAGGGCAGCTGGGCCAAACCTCGCAGCTCTCTGCGCCTGGGGCACGGCAAGGCAGCCCCGAGGTATCAGCCAGTGACACAGCCCAGGGACCACTGCAGGGCCAGGACAGGGGGACAGCGACAGGACACAGCGGCTGCTGGCTCCTGGTGTGCGTAGGCAGGGGTGACCCGTCAGGAGAAGCAAACCCTGCTCTGGCAGGAGCAATCAGGGCACACAGCAGCTCCTTGTGCCTGGCTCAGGAGGGGACAGAGAGCTTTTGCACAGCCTGGCATCTTCCGGGCTGCCCGGCCAGGTGTGGGTGGCACAGATGTGTTCTCCCCCTGACAGCAGGATCCAGGCAGAGCATGGACAAAGCAGCACAGCTCAGCGAGACCAGGGACAGGCTTTGGAGGAGCACAGAGAGTGCCTGAGGAGCCAGCTGCTGCACTTGTATAAAAACATGAGCAATGGTGAAAGCAGCAGGACATGGGAGGGATGGTGGTGCAGAGCACTTCAGAAAGAGAAGGATGGAGAGAGTCTGGCAGTCAACATCCGACTTTTATTCCTAGTTAAATAACAGAGCACGTCAGATGAGAGAAAGTCATTAAGTGTCAAGAGTCAGATTTCGAGGAGCTCAGTGCCAGGTTTCCCAGCACTCAGCACCGCAGCCGGGGCCAGGCTCTGCAGAAAGCCAGATCCCATTCAGAGCCTGCAGCAGGGCTGGCTGGGGCTCCCCAGGGACGTGTCTGGATGGATTTGTGGAGGAGATGAGTGCCTGACCTTCATGGCTCTTCTCTGAGTGCCTGATGGTGCTGGTCCCGGCACTGACCCTGCAAGGTCACTGTGGTGCTGCCGGGTGACAGCAGTCCTGTCACCTGCAGGGCTGCAGCGGTGTCAGCCCCTCATCTGACAGGCTTCTCAAGCAGGAGACTGACAGATTGTGGGTTTGCAGCTTCCTGTGGGAATTTCTAAGTGCATAATCATTGTGAACATCATGAAAAGCATTTTAATAGTCAGAGAATACCATCTGGATGTTCACAAACAAAGGCAATATAAATCCACAACTGACAGCACTGAACTCAGTGCTTTTATAAGTATTTCCAAATTGTTTCCCAAATTATTTAAGCAAGTCTTTCCTCTAATGAAACTCAGAAAAGATCCTAACATAGGCAAACAGTACAGACTGAGCACAACAGAGACTTTATACAGAGGGATTAGAGCTTAGGTCAGATGTAATCAAATTACATCCCCTGCATACGAATGCAGTCTGTGTTCAGAGATAGGAGAAATCCCAAACACTTCTGTAATGAGAGGAATAAATCTGGAAGTGCCAAAAGGGAAATGAGGGAGAGGAGAGGAATAACCCAAAGCAGTTTTTGTGGGTGTGAAGGCCTTGCATGATGGTGCTGAGCACTGTGGGGATTATTTGAGAGTGTACAAGAGGAATGTTCTGGGTCTGGTGGCAGCTGTGTCTGATGTCCTTGCAGTGGGGGACACTGGGAGGGGTGCTGGAAGGGAAGAGAGGAGGAGAGAAGCCAGCAGGGCTGCTGTGCAGGGAGGAGGGAGGTAACAGAGCCTGGCTGGATGCTGGCTCTGAGGTGATGTGCCAGGAGAAGCTGGCAGGGCTGGGCACGGGGTTCTCTCCAGAAGCAGAGATGAGCCTCCCTTTCCACAGGCTTTGGGTCAGAGGAGCAGAGAGCAGCATGAGCTGGGCTGAATGGTGACTCCCAAGCTTTGCTGATGGTGATGTTCACAGGGCTCCTGCTCTCCTGCACAAAAGCCCTGGAAATGAGGCAGCAGTGCAGATCCTGACCTCGGAGGCCTGATGTCCTGGAGTGCACCCCTTGACAGCCCAAGGCAGCCATGGAGCCAAGGGCTTTGTTCAGCACGGGCCTCTGTGGAGAGGAACTGGGAATGGAAGCAGTGATCCAGAGCCAGTGGAGGCCACACTGACAGCAGAGCAACCCCAGACATGTTGGGAACAGTCCAAAGCAGATTGTGAGGTGGCCACCAGTGGGAAAGAATGGCCACCAGAGGAGTTTCACCAGCAGTACCTGGACAGCTGCAGCTGGCATGTGGCTGTACCCTGAGGACAAGAGTGCCCCTGTCGCTTGCAGGCCCCTGGCCAGACTTGGGGTCCTGGCAGATGATCTAGAAACATCTGCTTTTGCTGTCTTTTCCTGATCCAGCTCTTGCAGAGATGGTTGAGGGCCCTCCAGCCAGCAGAAATCTTTGGCTGTGGGCGAGGGGTCTGAAAACAGACCATGGCATGTGCCTGGAGATGTGCTCTTGTAAACATGGCAAAAATGTGTCTTGCTGTCCATCCAGGAGGAGCACCTCTCTTGCTGGAGCAGCCTTGGCTGGAAAGTGGGCAGACCCCAACTCCACCTCCTCCACATGACCTCAGAGCAGAGGACACCCTGCTGTCCCAGTTCCTGGATTTCATCTGAATTCACCTTGCTCTGCACTGCTGGGCAGTCTTCTAAGTGAAAAAATGTCACGTTTCTCTGTCACTCTGTCAGGCCAAGGTCTCAGTGGAAATGGGTTTGGAAGCAACCTCAGAAGGATACAGGGAACAGAATCTGATCTCTCTTCTGTGATGGGATTGCTGATTGTGACAGGACACCTGCTGACAGCTGGACTCCTCTTCCACCAGGCCCTCTCTTTCCTTGTCCCCCCTGCTCTGCCAGGAGCGTGGGGCTCGGGACAGGAGCACAGGAGGAGGACACGGCATGGGGTCACTTGCTCGTGCTGCCTCTTGGCTCCTGCTCCTCCCCACCTCCCCACCTTGTGCCAGGGCTTGCTGCCTCCATGGGGCGTGGAGGCAGCTCCAAGAGCTTTGCGGTTTTCCAGCCTGTGCCTCATGTTTCTCCTTGGAATCACGAACAGGATGTGCCTTGTGCTCGGCCTGTGGCTCCAGTGCAATCTCAGCATTGCCTGAGACCACATTTGGTCTCCTTGGATGTATCGGAGAGATCCCAGGCGTGGATAAAGTGTTTGCCCAGATGTGCTGCTGAGGGCAGGCTGCCCCACACAGAGCAGGCTGCCAGCCTGGGGGTGACATGTGCTTGTGTGGCACTAAAGCATCGTTTCTGTAGGCCCAGCAATGACAAGCGGATCTCTCCTGCCTGGATAAACGGGACAAGTGGTGCTGTGCCAGCAATGGGGTATGGGAGAAGCTGCCTGTTTCCTTTCAGTCACCTCTTTTAACATGCCCCTAAACCCTCTGGCAGCCAGAAAAAGCATTAGTCACCCTTACAAAGTCAGGATGAGCCAACAGGAATAACAAGCGCCTTCGTCTAGAGCACATCCATGCCAGGCAAAATATTGTAGGCAGGACTGCTCTGTGCTTGTTGTGGGGAAGGAGCAGAGGAACCTGCTCAGCCTGTGCAGAGGGCAGTGGCTGTGTGGAACACCCCAACACCTGGCCAGCTGTGGGAGGTGCTGGTGGTCACAGGAGCTGGCTGTGCCCAGGGCTGCAGGCAGGACTGACCTGAGGGGCTGGTGAAGGGATTTGGCTCCTCGGGTGCAGTGAGATAAGAAGGACTTGGGGCGGCAGTGGAGTTACCTCCCTGCTCATCTCTGGGTGAGCTTATGGCCAGCCATGAGCTGGTGGACATTTCAGAGGGGACCACAGCTTGGGACCTCCTGCATCCCTCCTCAGCCCTGTCCATGATGCCAACAGCCCCTCCCAGGAGACAGGAGAGACAGCAGGCTCTGCAAGGAACCCGGCAGCCCTTCCCTCTGGGAGACCCCTGCCCACAGCACAGCCTGTCCACCTGCTTCAGCAGCGCCTCCAAGAACCAGAGAAGCAGAGCAAGCCAGAACCTGGATCTGGACCAGGGGAGAGATAAAGGGAGATGTGAAGCTGATGAGTGGAAAAGGAGAGCTGTGAGGATGTGGCCGGGCGCGGCTGACGGGGGTGGCTGCTGGCACGGAGCGGGGGCCGGGCCGGAGTCAAACATTGGGAACATTTCTACCAGACAGGACAATTACACACTGGAGCTGCCTGCCAGTGAGGCCCCATCACGAGTGGAACAGATCCCATAAGATACTTCTAAGTTTAGAGTAGAGGAGACCTCTCCAATAGGGGAGGATACAAGGCTGCCTAGCTCAGTCCCGCCCGTCGCCGCCAAACCACACTCCCCGGAGGAGCTCTCACAAACTGCTCTTGCAACACTTGAGCTACGGCTGAGACACACATTCCAGCCGAAACCCCTGTTTGCAGTTGTTTATACATCGCTCAGAAAATATCCTTTTGGATTGAGTTTGTTCATGCTTGATCTCAGCCCAAAAAAACGAAGAATTATTTGGGGATGGTTTGAGCGAAATCTGTTTGACTGTTTCTGTGTTATGTAAGCATCAGAATAAATATATTTGTCTATTTTCAAACATTTTCCTCATCCTTACTAGCTGTTAGATATCTCAAAATCAGCTTCAAGATTTGGAGGAGCTGTACTCAGCCCATGACTGGCTGCCATTGCGGGCCCAGCCTGTTCCTCAGCCAGAAGAGCTCTCCTCAGGAGTGAGAAGACCAGCAGGAACTACAGCTCTTACATGTGATGCTTGACATCCTTAGAGGTGATCTCCTGGGGCATTGGATCACAGCTGGGCGTTTTCCAAGGGTGTTTGACAAGAAGGGATTGGCCAGTGTCGGATGAGGGTTAAATAAACAGGTGTTGAACAAGGCTGTGGAAAAGAGCCGTAAGTTTTTGTGAGAAGGGGAAGTGAGTGCTGCTCACAGACCACGCAGCAAGAGGAGGGCTCAGCTCTTCCCACCCCCAGCCCCAAGGGATCCCACACTGCACAGGTTGTTCTGGAGCTGCTCCCTGCGTGCTTTTGTGCTGTGCTCGTGCTTGTTGGTTGTGGTGGATTGTGGTTTTGGAAGAGGAGAAGTGAAGGGAAAGGGCTCTCAGCCTTGGAGACACTCTTTGACTCCCAGATTGTGCCCAGATGCAGAGAGGTGCTGGGTGATGGGC